CATCCAGTTGAAAATGGGAGTAAATCTATCTTTGCTTCATTGCTCTTCTGCCAGGCGATGTAGGAAGCAGCACTGATGTCAGCTCCAGGCTCCCCAGCTGAAGATAAGAAGCTGTGATGATAGTGGTTGCCAGAGGAAGGATAGAAGAGGTACTTCTAAGTCAGCACGTAACTGGGATTTTACTGTCACTCGTATCACAGTAATTTAAACTAACCAGAAAGGAAACCAATCTTTCAGGAAGGATTAGGATGGGGTGTGGGGGGGTAGATCAAGGCCCCCTCATGGTGAGAGAGGAGTGGGGCTGGGGTAGGGGCTGGAGCAAGCGCTGCCCAGCCAGGGCAGAACAAGCATGGGACGGAGCCATGGCTTGTCTGGGGGGTGGGGGCGCAGGGAGGGGGGGTTGGCAGCTCCCGCCTCTGTGTGCTGCTCATTCGGGATCTGCTTGTCTGGTGGCTCCTGCTACTTGTCCAAGAGGGCATAGGAGGGGGAGCGTGTGCCCACAGATCTGCCCAGGCCGGGAAGTCCCATGCAGCTCTGGCCCCAACCCACCTTGCCCCTCGCAGATTCGGGGGCACATGCCTCCCCACGCCCTCCTGGATGAGCGGCAGAAGCTGCCAGATGAGCAGGCAAGTGCTGGACCAGCAGCTCCCGGATGAGCAGTGCACAGCGGCAGGAGCTGCCCCCCTGCCCCTGTGGGGGCCATGATCTGCCTCCCCACACTTTCCCTCCCCCCTCCCCTTCCACCACACCAGACTTACCAGTTGCATGCAGCTCTCCAAGTTGTTGGACTGTGCTCCTCACTGCCTACGTGCCACTGCACACACACAGGCATTTATCGGCCACATCAGGCCGATTTCTAATACTGTCGATTTTTTTCTTTATGTTGGTGCCGATCCAATATTGGACCAGTGTATCGGTGCACCTCTGATGGACTAGTATGCTTTGTCTTTTTGTTGTCCTACTTAGCCAAATAGACATTTGTCTTCTACTATTCTATTATCAAGTAACAGCTTTTTCTTTTCAACCAGTGGTTTCATGAAGCTATCTGCATTTGTGACCAAAAATACAGTATTTGCTTTGTGTATTTAACATTCTTCTTTCAAAACATACGTTTCACTGATGGTTCATGTATGTTAAAAAGGTCATGTAAGCGAAATCCTGTTCATTAGAAGCTGAGCCTTCTAACGGGAGAGAGTCCCATGTGGTGTTCTAGAAAAAATGAAGACTGCATATGCATGACTGAAGTAAACATCTTTTTAACAACCATTTTCTGTTTTTCTTTCTTATGGCTGTTTTTAGGAGATTTGTCACGATCCACGTAGAGTCAGAAATAAAGGGCAATATGTCTTTACTGACTGTAGAGCAAAGTTGGAACACAAGAAAAAGCCTTTTGCAGGTACAGCAGTAAGAGCTTAGATAACATATTGGTTTGTTCTGGTGGGATGTAACACAACACAACAGTAGAATTTCAAATCTTTTGTTGGAGTCCACTGAAAAAGTGCTGCAGTAACTACAAGGCAGGAAAACATGTCAGGATATAATGCTAACTAGGAATCCAAAGCCAGTATTTTATTTTATTTATTTATTTAAGAATGTGCTAGTTCAACATATCTAAGTTCTGTATGCAGCATACTAGGAAGTATTCCATAAAACAAAAACAATTAGTATTTATAGCCTGCAACAGGTAACAGTAGAGTAAATATTGAAATAGTTGCCATGGTCAAACAAAGCTGCTGCTCTGAGGTTCTGATGAGATGAAATGTTTGAGCTGGTATAACACTTTGTACATAGATGTAAATTATGCTAAGATCTGGCATGGACAGAATGCAAATATTGTAGGGTAGTTGCATGCAATAAGTGATTATTATGATATCTCACCACTAATTGACAGAGGAGTAAATTACTATCCTGGGATTAATCTCTGAACAGATGGCATTTGTCTTGGTGTAGAGTGTTATTGCTTCCTTACCAGGTAATTCTTCACCAGATGTAAACCAAGTTAAGGGTTTTATATAATCTGTTCCTTTCTTTACCTTGAAATAAAGGTAAATTACACCTAAACTTCAAAGAGTTAAATAAAAGCTTGAAATTTTATGAGGACAATTTTCAGAAAAACTAAAAACAAGTAGCCTTTCTTTCTGTATGCGACTTTTGAAATTAATCTTATTGCTGATAAGATTTAAAATTAGGAGATTCAAGTACAACGATGTTTAAGAAGCTAATGCCAAAATGGCTACCCGTGTTTTAGGTCAGTGACAAAGTGGGCAGCCGCACAGCAGTGGGGAGCACTGATAGCATTGTCAAACACACCCATTGTTTATAACCATGTAGAGAGATGTGTTCCAGTAAATGATAATTGTACATGAAATGGTGCATTTGGAAACTGTCATTTTTTTAAATACCCTTTTAATTTAGGCTGTTTCTGCAGTTAATTTGTTTATTATCTGTATCTGACACAGTGATCCTTAGATCTCTGTAAATCTGTTTTGATGCTACTGACTGTAAATATGTAGCTTGCAATTGCATTTTTGTTTTCCTCTTCATTAGTGCACTAATCCAAACTAAATTCCATATTAACATTGAGTATCCATAATCCTTACGGTTTGTTAAACACATTTGTTCAGTATTTCTCAACATGTTTGTGCTATCATTGGTTTAGTATAATAATTTTCCTGGTCTAATCGCATTTGGCTGGAAAATAACTTGCAACTCATCCAGAAAGATTTGTATTAAGAGCTTGATTTACTACCATTCTAACTTGGCGTTATGAAGGATGGATTTGTAACAAGTGTGTCTTTAAACAGAAAAAACAAATGGTCCCACGGTTCATATGAAAGATGCATCTGGAATGAATGCTGTAGCCATTGCTGCCCATAAGAATGTGATTACAGAGGAACTGGCTTGGAAGGAGCAACCTGTGTATTCCTATCAACAGATTAGTTGTTTAGACAGTGTCATCAGGTAAGCAGCCACCCTGTGTATGTTGCTAGCATGTAAATAACAATTTATTAACACCCAGATTTGCAAATGTCCATGTGTTTAATATTGTTTAAACCCTTATTATATAGGTACCTGGAGAGTTGTAATGTGCCTGGTACAGTGAAGAGGAAATGTGAACCATCATCAAATTCCACTTCACTGAATTCTGATGATCATAAACAAAAAACAGTTAATGCTGTGCAGCCTATGAGAGGTATGTAATTTTCTTCATTATGTAAAGAATCGGCCAAGACATAAGTTATTACCACAGTAATGTGCAGAACTATCACAGGTGTAGTTTTTTTTACAAAAAAGATAAGGGGAAATGCCTTTGTCACACATTAGCTTCATTTCCAGCAAGACATTATGTGAAGTCAAAATTCCAAATCAACTTTGTGAAATCTGCCAATTGTAGGAGTTTTTTTTAAATACTCTGAGCAAAATACATTGGTATTAGATAATATAGTTTGTATTAATCTCTACTGTTTCAGTAGTTTATCGTTTTTTAGGTTTGATAATCTGTTTGCAGTTAGGACTCTTTCATCAGTAACCCATTATAGGAGGCCCCAATTGCCAATTATAAATAGCAGTAGTATTAATCTCATTTCAGTTTTGGCTTTTGATCGAGTGCATTTATGGTCACCAAGTGTGTTTAATATGCACAGTTCATTTAACACGTAGCTTGGCATTCACATTTGAAGAAAGTAGCACTGTATATGACTAGTTGTAACTTCAAATTGTATAATTACACTGTGGTCTATCTATAGAATTTATCTGGGAGGCTGAAAAATATCTGTGCAAGAACACTGAAAGAACTGGCACATTTGCCTTAAGTCCAATAGCATGGTTTTTAATAAGTGTTAAATTGGGAATGGCCCCATGTGACTTGAAACTAGCAAATGTGGCACATGCATTTAAGGGAGAAAGGAGAGGTCTTAGCGTTTTTTGTTTGTTTGCTTTTTTAAGTAAAATTTTCTTATTGGTGTATGCAAGGCTCTACTCTAGTATTTACCCAAATCCAAGACTGAATTTATGAAGACCCTCTCAGTAATTCAATTCTGTATATAGAAAATGATAAATTTGTTATAATTTTCTATGCATATAATCTATGTAATAGTGTCCTCTTAACTTCATTCTCCCTCTCCTCCCCACTGCAATGGCTAGAAAAACAGCAGTGGGGGGTAGGCAGCTAGCCCCTGCCCCTGCACACCCCTCCAGTGCCTGCCCTCCCCTGCCATGGGAACGGTAACAGATCTTGTCTAGCTGCAGTGCAGTAAAGCACTCAATGTGATTATCACATGGGGGATTTATTGGGTAAGATGTGGTTTAGTACAAGAGATGGTTGTGAGTTCTATAAGGAATTGGTTGAAGATAAGATGACAGAAGAGGGTTAAAATGGGAAGTATTATGTTGGAGTTAGGCTAGGTAAGGTCCTCAAGGGATCAGTCTTGAGACTGATTTTTATTTATTAATTTTGTTAGTAAGGCCTTTATTGCCTAGGTCACTAGTAAAATTCAGACAGTAAAAACTGGAAGGCATCATTTGTACCAGGGGCATCAAACTCATTTGGCACTGCAGGCTGGATCAGTGGCACAGGGCTAGTCTATGGGCCAGATCAGGCTCTAGCAAGTGCTGCAGGTGATGCAGCCAGGGACCAAGCCCCAGTGAGCGCTGCAAGCAGCGTAGATCCCAGACGCTGCATGCAGGGATGGTCCAGCACAGCAAAAGGGGAAGCACCGAGGGCCAGATACAGCTGCAAACTGTATGTTTGACACCCCTGATCTATACAGAGCAGGACTGGAATACAGTAAGGAAGAATTAAGTGTTCTTAAGAACTTAAGTGATATAAATGAGAGAAAATGTAGTTATACAAAATACCAGGTCATGCACTTAATGGACTAAAGAGTTCCTGCTGTAAGATGGGGATTCTACAGTTGAAATGATAAAAGGAAGGAAAAGACCTAAGAATACTAGTTGGTCACTGGACAGCAGTGATCCAGCAAGGTGGTATGCTCACAAAAGGGGAAGTGTATTTTTAGAAGATGTATCAGATGAGGTTCATCTAGTACAGAAATGAAAATACTTGTGTGTTTTGTATGAGGACAGATGAGACCTTATCTAGAATATTGTATGCAATTGTGGTCACCCATCTTGAAGAAGCATGAATTCAAACTGAGACAGGTGCATAGAAGGGTGACCAGGATGATTAGAGGAATGAGAAACCTATCTTACGCAAAAGAAATTCACTTGTTCAGCCTTGCAAACATGTACATTGAGAAGGGATTTATAGATCGTGATCACATCTGTGGGGAAGGAGCAAGAGGTAAACATCAGAGAGCAAGAAGAGCTAATCAGAGTAAAAGACAGTAATGCACAACAGCAGGTGGGCATAGATGGTCCTGGTCCTAATAAATTTAGGCTAAGAAGGCCTAAAGTGATCGGGGAAGAATATTTATTAACATTAAAGGGAAGGAAAGTTTTGGAACTCTTATGGGGAACAGAAATGGAATTGGTATCCAGGTGGAACTAGATAAGCTTAGGAAAAGGATTATAAGATATGGGTGCCTCGGGACTGGCTTAATGACCCAAGCGTTTTACTCCAATGTTCCTAAAGAGTTCTGGGTGGCAAACACAAAATCAGGTAACTGAATCTTCAATGTTATCAAAATTGTAATAACCTGGAGGTGGGAGGGAAGTGAAGTCAGTCAGAAAAAATAGTGAATTTGAATAACTTTCATTTTTCTAGAATTAATTCAGTCTGCGTTACAATGCCAGACAGATTGTTTTTCATTTGTATGTTTTGTTTAATCTGACAAAGTCTTATTAACTTGTTCATTTTGTTGAAAATTAATGTAGACCCTGCTTTGAAGACATCTAAAAAGTCAAATGGTCCTCCAGTAGTTGGTGCTCACTTGACTACTTTGGCTCTACCTGGAAAACCAGAAAGTGTTGTGTCTTTCACCAGTCAGTGCAGCTACAGTAGTACCATTGTTCATGTTGGAGACAAAAAAACGCAACCTGAATTAGGTAGAGTACTTATTTATTTTGCAAAGGGATAGCTGAGTTCAAGACGTTTGGGGTTTGGGGTTTGTTTTTTGTTTTGTAAAGCTTGTGGGAATAGTTGCATAAAACTATTAACACTTATCTGTAGCTATAAAACCCCTGTGGAACCAGAACAAGCATGAATGAACATTTTTAATGGTTACAATGAAGCCGTTACAAAGGTCTAATCACTTTAAAATGAAATTGAATGACTTTATCAGCACGTGCTTTAATTTTCTACTTCGATTTTTAGAAATGATAGAAGATGGTCCGAGTGGAACAGAGATCTTAGATGGTCAGCTTTTTGCCCCTCCATCCAACAGTACTCATGTAAACCAAGAAAAGGAGCCATTTAAAAAATTGGGTCTTACAAAGGAAGTCCTTGCAGTCCACACACAAAAAGAAGAGCAGAGTTTTCTGACTAAGTTTAAGGAAATCAAAAAATTCCACATGTTTCAAAACCGCTGCAATTACTACTTGCACGACAGACCTAAAGGATGTCCTTGTGAACGTGGTAAGGCAATAGATGCTGTCTTAGAAGGCTCATTGTTAGACTAAAATCATCTTTTGAATAGTTGTCTGGAAGGGGATGGGGGCTAGGACTGTAGTTTCATTTTTAATTGTTGTCAAAGGCCAAGGATGTGTATTTATAGTTCGAAACAGTAATCTGTCAATCTACCATTGGTAGAAAAGAGCTTCATTGCATATAATCTTTTTAAGATTATTTGGTATATTTCTGTCTGCATGTAGTATTTCTTAAGGGGGCAATCTATTTATCTTTAGCATGTTTTTCCTCTCTTCTCTTCTCTCCTCCTCCCCTCCTGCCCCCCCTCCCTTTTTTCTCTCTAAAAATATTTTTCACCTTCTGTATTTTCCCTTCCTTCATTCACTTTCATTTTTCCTTGTGGGATTGCTTCTGATGTTCTTCCATTTGAAGAATACTTCTTTCAGTGGTCAGGAGTTGCCAAAAAGCAAGATGCTTATTCCTCCAAAAGCTGCAGCCAACACCTGCGAGACAAGCAGGGTGAAGAACCATATTTTGGTTACATGGGCCACATTTCAAC